TAAATTTTGTAAATAAGCATAATATTATAAATAAATACCAATTTGGATTCCAGGAAAATAAAGAGTACTGAAGATGCGTTAAAATATGTCACTGACCAAATCGGCCTTGTTATCGATTAAAACACTCCGTGTTTAACAGTGTTTTTGGACTTAGCAAAGGCTTTTGATACGGTCAATCACAAAATTCTGTTTAAAAAGTTGTATAACTATGGATTTAGAGGAATTGCCAACAAATTAATTGAAAGTTATCTTTCTGGGAGAAAGCAGGTGGTTATAATCAATAATATTATCAGTGACGAGTTAAATGTAACTTGTGGAGTTCCTCAAGGAACCATTCTCAGTCCTATATTTTTCATATTGTATATTAATGATTTTTTTGATATTCTACCAAAGGGTGAAATTGTGTCTTTCGCTGATGACATTACGCTAATTGTTAAAGCTAAAACTTGGTCTGAAGTAAAGGATTTAGCACAAGCTAAATTGAGTCTAATTGCAAAATGGTTGAGTGTACATTTCCTAACTTTAAATATACAAAAAACTGTTTTCATAACCTATGGTAGTGATGTTGACAGCATACCTTCAAATATTGAGCTACTGTTACATACTAATTTATTGTGATATTGAATAGTGATATGTGTGATTGTTCATTTCTGACACGAGTGAATTAAGCCATATATCTTGGAATATGTGTGGACTCAAATTTGAAGTGGAAACAACATATCACACAAGTCACAAATAAAGTCTGTTATTTAATTTATGTATTTTATAAATTGCAGAGTATTTTCAGCGAAAAACAATTGTTAATAATGTATTATGCGTTATTTTGGAATATTGCGACTTATGAAATTATAACATGGGGTGGTTCGTACTATAACGCAATTAAAATGCTACAAGATATTCAAAAGAGAATACTTAAAATCGTTTATAGAAAAACCAAACAATATTCCTCTGAATTACTTTTTAAAACGTATAGACTTGTCTCTATAAGGAAATTTTTCTTAGAAAAATCTCTTTTGAATAATTTTGACTATCTTAAACAGAAATATATATCAGTATGTAAAAATAATAAGAGAAACATATTATTAGTACCGCCGAAAATTGGGAAAGAAATCAGTTGACATAACCATAATTATATTAGTTATAGGATTTTTAATTTACTGAGTAGTGAACTCAAAAATACCAGCTACGATAAACTGCGTAAAAATTCAAAGAAATTGCTTAGAAACTTCATAGTTGAGCTTAGCGATGAGACAGTTTCTTCAGTTTTTCAATGAGAATTATGAAATTAAACTATATTGTGATAACTACTTTTTTACTTTCTGTATTTCGAAATTTCTTTTTCTTTTGTAATATATGCTTCGTTCTTCTTTACTTTGTTTATTAATTATATTTTCCGATTATTTTTTTGTATTCTTTTCTTTTATAAACAAGCTCTTGAAAAAAACTGTTGCTCTGGTAAAAAAAAAAAAAAAAAAAAAAAAAAAAAAAAAAAAAAAAAAAAGATTGATAACAGGCCCGCGCACTGGATTAATTCCTCAATGAAATAATAATGTACATACTTGTATTATATTATTTGTATTTCACAGTCTGTTAATAAATAAATAAAAAATATTTCTCTGCATCTTCCTTCATAATCAAGTTGACGTAGTTCTCTAGGGATCTTTGTAATCTGCTTTTGTACTTTTTCAATATGTTTTTTATCTTTCTGATAATAGGGGGACCAAAACACATTAGCATACTCTAGTATAGGTCTGATATATGCCGTGTAGATCAGTTTCACCATAGATGGACGTAATGTAGAGAATGTCTTTCTAATCAGGTATAGTAGCTTATTGGCTTTTTTAGTAACGGTAAACACTTGGTAATCCCATTTCAGATTTTGAGTGATAATAACGCTCAGGTTAAGTGATAATATATAATCATTTTGTTCTGTCGTAGAGTTGAGGACGTGATTTCCAACAGTATAATCAATATTTGGGTTATTTCTTCCAAAATGAAGGACAGTCCACTTATCAGAATTCAAAGGTAATAACCAGGACTCCGACCATCTCACCATTTGTTGAAGTCATTTTGTAACATCCGATAGTTTATTAATGGATTAGAGAAAATTTTGGTGTCGTCCGCATAGCAATTCGAACACGAGGATAGTTCATTACCTAGGTCGCAAGTATACAAGATTAATAATGTCGGGCCTAGAACTGAACCTTGGGGTACACCACTTGTAACAGCACGAGGTCTCGACAGTGTACTTCCAATGGTCACCTGGAATGTCCTGCCTAATAAATATTCCTGGATCCACTTCAATAGATTGCCACGTATACCCAAAGATGAGAGTTTGTGTAAGAGGCGTTGATGTGGAACTTTATCGAAAGCTTTAGCATAATCCAGATATATGATGTCGACTGGTCGTTTCTGGTCCAATTCCTTGGTCCATATATCTAGCGACTGTAGTAAATTTGTACACGTTCTTTTTGGGATGGAACCCGTGTTGTTGTTTAGGGATGCATGATCCAGGGCAGGGATGCATTTCCAAATGCATGATCTAGAAGCCGTCGGACAATTACCCTTTCCATGACTTAGCACACTGTGCTTGCCAAACTTATTGGTCTGTAGCTTTGTGGTAACTTTTTGTCTCCTTCTTGAAAACCGGCGTGATAACAGCTTTTTTCGATTCAGAGGGCAATTTCTCTAATTCAGAGGGCTCTAATTCTAAGGAATGCTCTATCTACCAGCCTGAGATGTTCTGCTCTTCTTTGACATTTGCGGATCATTATATTCTTGGTTTTGCCTTGGTGATATACGTAATTTTTTTAGCACTTATCATCTGTCACAATTTCCATTGTTCTATATTACACCACCTTCAGACATTCCTAATTGAAAGGCTTTGAAACCAACAGTAATATGTTTGGTGTTCTTGTGCAAATGGTGTTCTTGAATGCCTCACATTATGTATTTTGCCATGGAGACATATTCTAAGAAGTTATGTCTCCACTTAGTATTCATATAATTTTTAACTTCTATATGTATTTACATTATATTTCTTCCTTTTGTATGCACTAGCAGGAGTTTCACATGCATTCGAACAAAAATTTCCCTTTCACAATTAAAAGGATATGGTCTGATATGCTGATTTTTTTTTTAAATGCACCATTTGAAGATTCCTTTACATTTCACCATTATAGAACATATAAAATTATTTCTTTTCATATTGTAGCCTATAACACAATTGATTACGAATTGAACTTTACTATACAACAACACACACAGTCACGCTTCTAGACTACGAGCGAAACAATTGTTTACAAAAATGCATTATCAAAAATTGGACATCTCACACAGTTTTATCGGCACCTGCAGACAACATTTGTTTACAAAAGAAAACAAAAACTAGCTTTCTGGCAAAATTTCAACCAGAGATATTAGAAGTTGTATGGGAGCGAGTACAGTATTTATCAGTCTGACAGTTGTCACTGGCCTCTTTAAAAATAAAATTCATACACTTATAGATGGAATCTGACCTAGAAATGTTCATTAATGAACATTATTTACTTACGCAAAAAAGAAAATTCCATTTTTATTAAAATATCAGCCTATCATCTCACCTTAGCATGGTTGCGTGCCATACTCTCATTACTTAGGCAATCCACCCCTGACTGCCCCCATATTGTTGTTTATTGCAGTTTGCCTGGCTGCTCTGAAATGGGAAGATGTGAGTGGAGCCATGCAGGATAACAGGCCTTACCATGCATAACATGTGAAACACATTAGGATGATTTTGACTTTCTGGACTTACTACAAAAATTCTGTAATTAATCTAAACTTAACCTATTGTTACATTGAAGGGGGTGTTGACCCCAGTAGGATGCAAGCCCTAGATGCACAATGCTCTCACAAGATAAGAATGCACTTTCCACTAATTACCTTTCATGGGTTACTCTAAACGGCACTCCGTTTTGGATGTTTCACAACCGTGCATTATAACTAATAATATTTCTTATAAATAATTTTATCATAAATTATTAATTCTGTCAATTGGAAATATGCTCAAATTCTACATTGACAATAAATTTTTTGAACATGAGAACTTTTTTCCCCAGCGTTTTTCCAGTATTTTTTCTGAAATTGATATTTCCTGTGCCTTTCAGAAATCTGTCACCCTGATAATATGTTAAGGAAAAAGAATGTTTGTACAATTTGTAAGACAACCACACAAAATCCTGTAAATTCATTACAAAGGTACTGAATTATCCCGTACGATGTATCAAACAGATTTAAGACACAAGGTGCACATGAAAAACACAATAAACAACCATCACACGAGCGA